CCTGTGGCCAAAGTGACACCTGGGTAGGAAGCAGAGACGTCAACCTGGGAAATAGTGTATGGGATGATAATGAAGTGCTATGCGCTGCAACAAGAAAGAAGAGAGGCTTAAAAGTAATATTGTGTGCGGTTTGTTTACATACATAGAACATTAACCAGACATTTTATCAATTTCAACATTTTACAAAAGGTAACAAAAGCAGAAAACTACACATTTACTGTATTTTACACAAATGAACAATTTCGAAAATACAGTTCACCTGGCGACTATGCAGGGAGGAAGGCCAGGCCTGGAGTGAATGAGAAGAATCAAGGGAGATTTGTGCATCATGAAGGGTGACAAAAAGTGAAACCAGGGCCGGTGCTAGGATTTTTGCCTACACAGGCAAAGTTGCATTTTTGCGCCCCCCCAACCCGACCCCCTGTAGCGCTGGGCCTGCTCCCTATCAGCATGTTTTTTTTTTCTTCACTTACCTTCGGTGCGGGAGAGCGGCGGGTCAGCGCTGGTCCCGTGGGAGGAGCTCCAGGTCCTAATTTAGAGGATGCCGCGTGTGTCGGGATCCTCTGGCAGTCGCTGGCCAGCTAAATTGGGACCCCACCTGGAGCTCCTACCACCGGACCGCTGCTCTCCCGCACCGAAGGTAAGTGAAAAAAAACCAAAACATAGCGCAAGCATCGGGGCATTTTGACAAGTACAAGTACTTGTCAAAATGCCCTGTTTTTTCCGCCCTCACCCTGCAGCGCCCTCAGGCGGCCGCTTGCCTTGCCTTGCGGTAGCGCCGGGCCTGAGTGAAACACAGGGTGCCTCCCTGGATTTTAATCTGAGATGACATGGCTGAGGAAGTGAGGACTTCCTGGGGACACAAGCAGCAAAACAATCTGGATAGAGGTTATAAAGCTGGCCATACACTTGTAGAATTTCAGCCGCCCATACACTTGTAGAATTCTGCTGACTAGGCCAAAATCCAACCAGTGTGCGGCCCCATCTATCAGTGCATGGTCAGCGTAATCCTTCCTCAGCTTACTGGAAAATGTATCTTCTAAAATGAAGACACAAGCAGCAACACATAGTTAACAAGCTTAACAACCATGAGCCTAGTAACACATAAGCCTTCCATTGCGGTTAGGTACGTTTATTGACGTACATTGTGTTGAGGAAACCTTTTCAGTATCAATGGGCTGCCAATGCAAAAAAACGTCATTAATATTTTTTTTAGCCATGTGCTGAAGTGTGTTGTGCTCTACTGTACAATCTCTTAGACTGCAATTCGTGATAAGCATCGCAATGCACATACAGCAGTTTCAGCCCAGAACACTACCTGCGATGATGCAATGTCTTTCATTTTGAATGGCATAGAATAACTCAGCAACAAGCCAGGGCTCTGACTGGAATTTATACCCAGTAGGAACCAAGACCACCCACCGGTTGCCGAGACAAACAGGAGGCTTCTCTATCCAGGAGCCAATGGCATGAGGAAAAGGGCGGAAGGTGTGTGCTGGGAACCTCCATCAGCAAGGCCCACACCTGACAGCACTAATGGGCGCGGGCGCTCTATGCGCGCACACCCGTGCACGCAGTCTGTCCAGCGCGCACGCATCCGCAACCCTGGCAGCAGGAGTCCTGCCAGGAAGACGGAGAGCCCATGCCCTATGCTGAATCTGGCGACCCTGAGGAGAGGTGACACCGCTGGTTCCCTGACATTGTCACAAGAATAGTGACGTTTCCAGGCCACTTAGGGTCCCTTCATCAATATTTTAATATATTGAGCCTGATGAAGGGACCCTAAGTGGCCCCGAAACGTCCCTAGTCTTATGACATAATGTCTACGTGTTAATAAAGATGAATTTTGCACATATTTATTTGGTGTGCTGGTGACAATTCGTTTCTGCATTGATCCAGGTGGCGCCATCCTCCATCACCTCAGCACCCAATAGAAATGGGTATGCCAGTCAGGAGTGCGGTGGGAGACACACTGGAGTTTTCCTTGATTTTAATGCATGTTACAATACACTTTGTACTGAAGGGAATTTATCAAAACTGGAGCAGGCAAAATCTGAAGCAGCTGTCCATGGCAACCAATCAGCTTCTCTCTTTCATTTTCAAATCTTAACTGAACAAACTGAAGAGAGAAGCTGATTGGTTGCCATACACAGCTGCTCCAGTTTTGATAAATTCCCCTCAGTGTCAATAGCATCACATGTAAAGTAGGTTCCTTGTAGAAATGCGCATTTGAGCACAAGTGTGAATTATGTTGCATGTGTCGCTACAACACACAGCACTAGCTACTAGCGATGGGGTGCCATTTATTCTGAATCTTACCCCAACATACCTTGTCGACAGAGATGCGCAACAATGCACTAACGTGTGTTGCGCCGCCAAGAAAGATTCAGGTCCGATTTGTGGACCGTTGAGGTGTGTTGCCAGCCCATTCATTTTGTATTGGCTACCTAACACAGTGCATGTTAATGTGCATGCTTTACTGCGACGCACCCCAGCAGTTGGGTGTTAACCTAGCATAAGACCGCACATGTGCCCCCATTCACATCTATGCAATGCGGGAACGTGTGAGTGCCCCGCTTTGCACTAGATCATGTGTGACACTGTTTGCTGTGTCAAAAGAAATCTCACGGCTCCGATTCCAGTGCTGGGCACACACCTTACAACCATCACAAGACTTTTGTCTTGCGATGGTTGTAAGGTAATTACAAAAATGTACGATCTGCCCATCTCGGACAGGCAGATCATACTTGCGTTGATCGCAAGCCCGCCCCGCAGAGGGGCGGGCTTCCGATGACCGCAATGGCGAACGGGCAGTGTGCGCTTGCGCACACCGGCCCGTCCGGCTTTTATCTTACGAACATGCTACACACGCGGCGAAAATCGTATGATTCGCGGCTGGTTTTCGAACTTGTTCGGAAGATAAAAGTCGTGTGACCTTATAGTAGTAGAGGTCGCACGGATTCCACACACCTTACGATAATTGTACGATCACGGGATTTCCCGCGATTATCGTAAGGTGTGTGGGGACCTTGGGGCAGGGTTCATGCTGTGAAGACTCCACAGATGCAGACTAAACAGGTGCGTGTTCACCTCCAATCACACCAATCTAAGAAGATCCACACTCCATAAATCTCCAACTGCAGCTCATACTTTATTGAAATCCACAATTGGGTATACACCATAACCACATCCCCCAATACATAGAAAATACTTTAACACGTTTCACCAATATGGCTTAGTCATATTTACCATAGTAGTTACCTCTATGACTAAGCCACATTGGTGAAATGTGTTAGCTGATTTTCTATGTATTGGGGGATGTGATAATGGTGAATACCCATTTGTGGATTTCGATAAAGTTTGAGCTGCAGTTGGAGATTCGTAGAGTGCGGCTCTTTTGGGCATTGGATTGTTTGCTGTGTTGTTATTTCTGAATGGCATCCTAGTGCACCTAACCATTGCATGAGTGTTGCGTCACACCACAACACATAGTAACTTATTACATACATTATGGTGCAACGCAATTTAAAAAAAAGGTCATGCTTTTGGTGTGATTTAGATGTGGCAGGAAGTCCAATCAAATGAATGGGCTGCCCTACTGCAATGCACAGTAATTAATGCGTGTATAAATGGGCTGTAATGAGTGAGCAATGCTGCATTTCACACATGAACAGAGCCTGAATGTGCATTGTCATGTGTTTTTAAAGGGTAATTCCACCTTCCCAGGTGAATTTGGGTAAATGTAATTAGCGCCCCAATACTTTCCTTTGGGCTAGGGATGTACCGATACCGGTTTTACGGTATCGAGTATGGGTACTTGCCGAAGCATAGTACTGATACCGGTTCCCCGATTATCAGAAAGCCAGGTGGTGGATTATGAACCGTCGCCCGGCTTCCTGATTGCCTGGGAAGCCGGTGCTCTATTAAAAGAACACCGTCTTCACTTGCCGAGGCTTTCTAGCTTCCTGACCAATCAGGAAGCCTGGGCGGCAGGTCATGAGGTGCTGCCCAGCTTCCTGATGGCACGTCATGCCCCACCTCCCTAATTGGCTAGGAAGCCGGCTTCCTGACCAATCAGGAAGCTGGGAGGTAGGTCATTACGTGCTGCCAGGCTTCCTGATTGGTTATGAAACCAGATTCCTAGCCAACCAGGAAGCGGGTTATAACCCACCACCTGGCTTCCTGATTGGAAAGGAAGCAGGCTCCATGCTCTCTCAGCACTGCCAGTCAGAGGGAGATCTCCTTCTGACCAGAAGTTCTGGTATGGGAGCATTTAGGCGAGTACCCACCCATATACTCGGTATCGGCACTGAATGCTCCTTCTCCTCCGATGGTGTACTATCCGTACCATGTACACGGCAGTGCAGCTCTACGTTCTGCGAAACGATTTTCATTAATCAGCAGTAAGGATTGACATAAATGCTCGCCTTTTGAGCGCAATTCAAAATACAGAGTGCAGGGCTGCATGCTGTGTACAGATAGTACACCAGGGGAGGGGAAGGAGCGTTCGGCCAAAGTTAAGTAAAGGGCAAGAAAGGGGAATTACATTTTCCCAAATGCACCTGGGAAAGTGGAACGACCCTTTAACAGACATTGCAATGCACTGTGTAACGAATATCAGTCATGATGAGCTCACATGGGTTTTAATGCACTTCTAGTGATTTTAAGGAAAACACCTCAAGGTAAACCACACAGCAGCAAACCAAGCCTTACCTAGCCAATAACCTTTCTATTCAGAAATGTGGAACAAATACCGTGTTGCTCATCTTCAAAAGCCATAGTGCCCGTTACAAATAGCGCCTTTATTATTACTTTGTTTTCTCTCTGTAATTAAAACCACAAGCACTCGCACATTTCCGGCGGACAGACACCTGCTCTATGATAATAAGGCGCCGGTCTCCTCACAGCACATGCTGCATGACCCCCATTAAGACAACGCCCACCTCCTCATCCGCTTCTGGTCTCAGGCTACCTCCCTCCCACAATTCTTCGCGGCCGTGACTGGCGCCGCAGCGTGCTAACTACCAATCAGCGCACTGTGCGTTGAGTGAGGTCCGGCTGATATCAGTGCGCGGCGAAGTTCCACCCCCTCTTGCACTGAGCGCCTGGATCCTTCCGCGCCACGCTCCCTCCCTTCCTCAGGCAGCCTGCCCGGCACCGCCCGAGCTGTGTCCCGGCACCGCCAACATGGAGCTCATCACCATCCTCGAGAAGACCGTCTCTCCAGGTACGGTTGAGGGGAGCATGTCTGTGTATGATAGGGGGTTCCGCTGTGCTGGATGATATATAGAGAAGGTAGCCGGGAGTCACTGCAGTAAGGACCGGGGAGTTAGAGTTATCTTTGTGCTCTCTCTTCCACAGACCGCAATGAGCTTGAAGCGGCACAGAAGTTTCTGGAGCAGGCGGCTATCGAGAACCAGGTGAGAAATGGGGAGAATGTGTGTGACCCGAGTCGGTAGTAGCCTGGCCTTGGCACTCTGGGTTGTGCCTGTGCATGCGAGCTTGCTGTGAGGGCGACCGGGGCTGAGGTTGGGTTTTGCCGGTCATGGTTAGCTAGAGCGGGCCGTGTTCAGGCCTCCATGAACCGCCAATACGCTCGCAGCCTAACCTGCCCGCCATGAGCGCTCAGCCAATAGAGTAGCGGACAGAATTCGAGCCGGGTAGCGGCCGACCAATGAGAGGGCGCGGCTCAGGGAGCGGTGAAGGGGGTGGGGTGGTGGCAGTTCAACACGTTGGGTTGACTAGCGGCCTAGTTCTCAGTGCCGGGAAAGCGGTCCCATGTGGGGAGCAGCACCCAGGCTGTGCCATAAAACACGTTCTGAATTGATTTGAGTGTATTCCGGCGTAGCTGTTATAATCTGCACGGGACCTCAATAGAATAAGGTTACGGTGTCAAATCCGTATAGGCCAGCTGCCATTGCAGGGAGTAATGTGGCTTATGGGCCTGGCAGATAAGTGTGCTGACCACTTGCTGCATGCTCAGGACATCTGTGAATTAAAGCCTATTTGCAGTTTAAAAAAAAAATCTCCAGATTGCAAGGGTGCTTGTTTTTGTCTAGGGGATTTTTTTTTGTATGCATGTCTATCTGTGTGTGTGTAATACACACACACACACACGGTACCTCGGTTCATGAACTTAATTCGTTCTCCGATTCTGGTCGAGAACCGAATCAAACTGTGATCAGACAGCTATCTCGACTAGAGGAAGCCATGACCATGTGTCGGAGCAGGGAAAATGGCTGCGGTTGTGTTCGTCATCCGAAGCAGAGTTCGCGAACGGAAGAAACATTTTGCTGAACCTCCTGTTCGTGAACCGAATTGTTGGCGAACAGAAGCGTTCGTGTACCGAGGTACCACTGTATATATTGAATTTCAGTGCATCTGCACCCCCTGCAGTTGTAGGCCTGCTGATGTCATTAGTGCCCAGAGCCCTGCATTATATGTGAGGGTCAGTCGGAGAGGTGAGAGCTGAAGTCTGGGGAGGTGATGATTAGGTAAGTGATGTTCAATATAGATGTAAAAGAGCAGTTAACCTTTGCAGTGTATGGGTGACCCCCCCCCCTCCACAAGGGGAGCTGTTTTTCATCCTAGAGAGGATTTAAAGGTTACATGCCACAGGTTACAACCATTTTCATGCAGTAGCAGTGACAACATAAGGTCTCTGTTCCATTACCCTAGGGCCTAGAGGATGTTTAGGTGTTACAGGTATAGGGCTGCAACAACTAATCGACATAATCGATGATTGAAAAAGTAAACTTTTTCAATCATCGATTAATCGGCTTCCGAGTGGTTTGCCCTGTTCACGGCTCCTCACACTGCGCGACACACCTCCCCACCTCACGCTCGCGCTGCCAGAGCGGCCCGCATCCACGCTCCACACGCCGCAACTCTTCCCCTCCTCACGCTCACCGCCCGCATTCATGATCGGCACAGGGTTCTATAGCCGGTGCCATTCTGCATTCAGTGCTGTATAATTTTACACTTTTCATTTCACTATATTGCACACCACACTTTTTTTTTTTTTTTCTTTTTTTAACTTCCACCGCTCCAAGCTTGCTCCATTGATGGACTGCATTCTCAATACAAACTAGTAGTGCCATCACTGGAGCCATTTTTTAAAATGTATTTTATTTTTTTAACCGATTAATCGAACTTAATAATCGGCTAACTAATCGATTTTTGAAAATAATCGTTAGCTGCAGCTCTATACAGGTATGATCTGCCTGTCTGGGTACCTGTCAGTTGACTGACCGTAAGAATTGAGTACTCCCTTCTAAAGAACTGGGAAAACCCTTGCAGTGGGGCTACCTCTGCACTGTGAAGGTTAAGTGCTCGTTTGTTTATAAGTGCAATATTAAGTTATACTCGAACCGTTGAGCTGGCCAGCTATTGACAATGCTCCCTCCAGACTACCCCCCAACCCCCCGCTGCAGCAATGGTATGTTCATTGGGGTCCTCGTTCTATAAACAGTGGATAGAATGTGATGACTCGCAGAACTTAGACCAGTGCAGCAGAGGGGAATGGAGGCTCCAGGGACTGGTATAAGAGCGAGCAGGCTCGGAGGATTAGGCAAGTATGTCTTTTTGCACCTAGACCCAAACGAGCACTTGACCCTCCCTGTGTGGCGTTAGAAAGTTTGCCCGGCGTTCTGCTTTAAAGGTATAGTCCACCTTTTGCAAGAATGTAATGCAGGCACATTAATAAAACATTTATCAAGTTTCTGCATCAAGCATTGTAACCGCCATCAGTGCACCGTGGGTTCAGTGCTCATGCTCCAACATTGCTTTTGCCCTGGGGTTGGAGGAAGTAAGGAATGCAGCCACAGTGGCAGTGAGGACTTGTAGTCTTCCCAGTCACAGATTACCGTGAATGGATGATGTGGCTGTACAGGCAGAGCCATACTTAAATCGAATAAAAGCACAAGGCTGCAGTGAGGGGACAGGTTGGGGATGGGTCACCATGTTTCACGATAGACCCACAAAAATGGTGTAACATTAAACGTGGTCTCGAAGGGGGGAGTATGGCTTTTAAAGTGCATGCTTAGGTGAATCTTTTAGCTTTGGATAGAGAACGGGTAAATCCTGTTAGTTTCCTGCTGCCTGTGTCCCATTGGGAACATTTTCTTTTTAAGTTGAACTGGATGGAAATAAAACCCTTGTTTTTGCCTTAGGCACCAGTGAAAGAACATTTCTTTTCCCGACTCCTGTCAGCTGAACGAAAAATAATTGAACCGATTCCTCCATAAGGCCCCATTCACACCAGGGCGGCAGCGTTTCAGCCCTGTTTCCAAAAGGGTGTGTTTGGGGCATTTTAAATCGCGTTTCAACGATGAAACTCAATTTAAAACGCACTGATCAGTGCATTTCCATCGAAATCTATATGGAAAACGTGCTGATCAGTGACAAAAGTAGCTCAGGGAGCATTTTGGGCGACATGCATTTCGTATTGTGCGGATTTGCGTGCTTGCATGAATGGTCCCCATTAGGGCTGCAACAACTAATCGACATAATCGATTATAATCGATTATTGAAAAAGTTGTCAACTTTTTCAATCATCGATTAATCGGCTTCTGATTGGTTGGCCCTGTTCACAGCTCCACACACGCTGCGCGCCACACCTCCTCCCCACCTCAGGTTTGTCGCTGCCATGCCCCGCTGCATCCACGCTCCACACGCAGCACCTCCTCCCTGCCTCACGCTCACCGCCCGCCCATGATCGGCACAGGGACGCGGGTAGAAGAAGTAAGTTGCTGGAAGATTGCTCAGGTAAGCCTGCACTCCCCCACATGGTGCTCCTATAATGTATTGCTGGGATTTGTATTCCTCTATAGCTGATGGTACATTCTGCTGTACTGTATATTGTACAGAGCAATGTACCATCAACTATAGAGGAATACAAATCCCAGCAATACATTATACACTGTATGTATAATGTATTGCTGAGATTTGTTGTATTCCTCTATAGCTTGTGGTATTCTGTATTGCGCTGTATAGAGGAATACAAATCCCAGCAATAATACATTATAAAGTGGAATACCACCAGCTATAGAGGAGTACAACAAATCCAAGCAATAATACATTATACAGCGCAATGCAGAATGCCGCCAGCTATACTGTACTATTGCTGGGATTTGTTGTATTCCTCTATAGCTGGTATTATTCTGCATTGTGCTGTATAATGTACTATTGCTGGGATTTGTAGTCCTCTACAATCAAGATATATCTACATTGGTTCTCTGACCAAATAATGGCTGTTGGTAGGTTGAGTGATTTTTAGCAGGTGGGTGGTCTTCAGTTCACCCCCTGGCATCAGTTTATTTAGCAGTCAGACAATGTTCACGCTTTCAACCCCTAACTTGTTAAATCTTCAGTATTGTCCAAGTCGTACATTTCCCATAATTAGTGGGTGAAATAGCTTGCGACCTATAGCTGGACTGTAAAGCATTCCTTTTTTTTTTCTGTTGAGCTTGGCTTAATAATTGGGAGATTTATGGAGACAAGTAAAATGTGCTTTCTAGGTGTCCATAGACTAACATTAGGAGACTATCACCTGCTCACTTTATCAAATCCGAAGATAATCTCATGGCTATAGGACACCTGCAGAGAATGGTTATCACAATAGTTCAAATACTTTGACCAACTCCTAATGCTTTCTGTGTGCATTTGCACTGGGAATCGGGGGGG